TCACAATCAGCCTCTCATTTATGTCACATAATAGAATGTTCACTTTGTCTGGTTTTGTTGCAGTCTGCCCCATATATGATTTTGATACTATTTGACACTGAATAGGCTGGCCTATTTTTTTAATTGGTTCTGGTTATGTTGGCTGAAAGGTTTATCAAAAAAAGACTAAAAAAGAAAAAGTTGGAAATTATTTAGCAGCTATTCGCAAAATATTTAAAGAATGGCGATTAAATATGTATGCTTCCGCGGGGGCTTATGTAGTTAGTTTAAGAAGTCGAGCCGAATATTAGTGAATGAATTGTTGTTAAAAAATTACTTACTATAGCGACAGTATGTTTGCTTGTTGGTGTTGGTTTTTTCTCCTAGACGGTGTTATTACTTTTTCTTTAAAAACGCCTCTCCAAAGACTAAGTATTAAAAATAGAAATGCTGATATTGTTACGGTCGGGAATTAAATGGGAGTTTGGGAGAGCGATTTATCTTTCGCGTAGGTGTGTTTACTCGTACTATAGCCTAGCTGTACAATTAAGACTGAATTAAGCCTCACTCGTGAATACAAATAATGGTACCTCTAATAGAATAATAACAACAATTATTCTATTAAAGAATCGAAGGATAATAATACTATTTTAAAATTAAACGGGGCTATCTTCGATTTGTTTGTCGACTAGTCGGTATCCGTCACTTGCCTTTACTAAACTAATTAAACAATAATCGCCTCGATAATTAATTATGACTCTCGTTCCGTTATTCACGTAATAGTTTATCCAGGAGAAGATCAAGGCACCAGCAATAGAATATGTATAAAATTACTAACTATGTTGTACTTTGGTGACAAGAGACAACGACTGCTGGGGCAAGACAATTTATTATAATTAATAGTAATAGCCCCTTCCCATTAACAATATACTAGTCGTGCAATAAATACGTCTTTTGCAGCAAAAAAGTTCTGCCGTTCGTTTGCTCAAAAAAAAAAAAAAAAAAAGACGTGACGGAACGTTTTGCCAAGAATGCCGCCTGTACGACTGTCAGGAATTGGCATCATAGATAACGAAAAAGTCACTTGCCGCTGCAATCATCACGACGCCGACTATGCGGCTTTTCAACCAGGTAACGACTTTGTGACTCAGGTGTTAGGGACACAGAGTAGTGTGTACGTTTGAGGATCGCCCTTGTCGCATCGCGGTTAGAATAGACATAGTAATATATTATGTTCTTACTCATAAAATTGTTGTCGATTGAAACTCATTGATGCTATTGTCTGCTTCTAGCCATCAGTTCAAAACGGACAATTGATAATTTAGAACGCGAGTATGGTGCTAGGGTTGCAATACTTGAAGCAAGAAAATCAAATACACCATCACAGCAGCACGCGAAATCGGAGAACAAGTCATAAGGGAAGCACAAGTAGATACACAATACATTGTCAAACTCAGGTAACGTGTCATTTGAAAAGCTGAAATTTTCATCGGCTGCCATCCATGCACAAGTGAAAGTGATCTCCAGGTGAAGTTTGTGAAGTTGTTTCAATCACTGCCAGAACAGATGAAACCATAGGGGGAATTCGAGACACATCAGTTGAAGGCTATCTCAAGGATCCAATCGGCAAGATTGATTTTACGATAATTCAAGGAAACATGTGCATGTTGTTTCTCTAATTGAAGTTAAGTCTACTTTGAATAGCAAAACCAGTCACTGTGAAGCACTCAGACAGCTCATAGACAGATTTATAACTATTTTTGACTTAGAAAAAAAATCGATCATTCATATTGGAGCTGTTTGTGGAGACTCACAAGTTGAATTTGTGTGGCAGAATCGAGAGAGAAACATCAAGCGATCAGACTTATTATTAGGGGAGAAATTGTAAATGAAGCGCACAAAGATAGGATTTATACCATAAATGTTGATCAAAGACCATTAAATAGAAGTGACAAGGATGATGCTGTCTTATATCAGGATGATAATGCTACAGTTATATATGAACAGCCCACAGAATTTGATTCAACGCATTGTATGGGAGATAAGCGCGTAATGGAATAGATGATCTAAATTATCACTTCTTACAGTATGGCAAATCCTCATAACAACTCACATCCATGGATATAGTATGTGACTTCCTTTTTGTTTTCCAAGTAAAAATTAACCATTTTAAAACAATTGTCGTTGGATTGGAATAAATGTTAATTAAGTAACCTGTCGGCAAATTGAAGTTTTTAAACATACTGGCGAAAAGAAAATAATAACGTAGTAATTAAGAACAAATATTATTGAAGTGGTTATAATTTATACGTAAGTCGTGGAATAAATTGGCTATTATGTTTGCAAACTATATTAGCTGGCTTAGTGTTTATTGAAAATAAAAACAATAATTACATAATTGCCTATTATTGGTTAGAAAATTACTATACTAGTAAAGCACTATAACCGAAAAATCCCATCAACAAATCGAAAAACGAGCCAGAAGATGAAAATTTTAAATCCTTCTTGCTTTGGATGTGTCTCACCAACACTACGGATAGAAAACCCATTTTTGACATCATACAATGTTACCCGCATTCAGTATGATCAACATAAATAGTTCATAGTCACCCTCTCAATAAGCACCATATACAGTATGAGGCTTCCGTTATAGATTCAATTGAAACGATAAACGCTGGCATTGCTGTAAGAAAAACATGGCGGTGAAAGTTTAAAATCAACTCTGAAACATGGACCGTTAAATGTATAAATGTAGGTAGTTTTAGATCCTTATATTGATAAGTCGTGCAGATGGCTTTCAGCGAAACTGACATTATTAAAATTGTTTATTAACTGTTCAATGGAATTACAAGTTCGTTCCAAGTTAGGAATATGACTTGGAGAATGTACTTTTTCGTGTTACATTCCCAAAGCGTATGAGATCGACAACCCCTTAAAGTTACCCCTATTTTAAAAAGTCATCTGGTCGAACTTGTGACCTAGTCAATGCCTTGCCTCTACTATTACTATGGATTATCAATATGATTCGTATTATCGAGACACACAAATACACAAATATGTACATAAATTGCCGATAGGCGCAGGTCAACGATAGAATCTGACAGTTAACGAAAAACCCATTGTCACAAATTATAATGTGTACACACAATCAGACATGTTAATTGGTGGAACTCGTAGCGAATAGAATTTATATACTTCATTATCATATCCTACCAATCTACTCTCTATGTGACTCATTTCTAGATTCAACTCCCTGGTCACAATCTGCCACGAAACACCGCATATTTGATTATAGTCATTTTATTAGTAAGACATTCCACACACGGCGCATCTGACATTTCCGCCGTTCGTGTTATGGTATCAATTACGGCATACTCGGATTTTAAGGCATCATCAAATATCCGCAAGTCGCTTCAAACTTTCATATTTCCCCGATATTTGTCCGGTCATTTATATGCTAGATGCGTTGTATAATGAAATCATTGGTACATAACTAATCTCTGGTAAAAAAGAAAAATTGCCAACGTTTTTACTAAGGTACGGCCTTCGCAAAAGTTCCCCGCGATAGATATGGCATGATTTTCAAAAAAACCAAAAACGGAACCCACGACAAACACATGGCACTGCGACAAGACCTGTAAAAGAATGTGTAGCCAAGAGATATATTGACAATCATAAACTCCGATGAAAATTAGGGAATTGTAACCATGATCCATCCATATGCAGATCGTCGTATGAATACTCTTTGACAACCCGACCAATCACAGGAACCAAATATGTAATCCCGACTTCTCTTCGTCTCTTGTACTAACAATAAGCCTATGAATTAAGAGCATCTTCATATACTGTTTCATCACTAGTTACTTCAGATGTTCTTTGGTGACAGAAACCAACCTGCACTCATGTATTTTAACCAAATATGATGGGAAACTGCATGCTGTACCTTTCAGTGCCTACAAGATATTAAATATTAGTTAGAATATTTAATAATCAAATAATAAATGTCAATTAATGACTTTTTCTGGGAAGTGTATCTTGACTGTTTAATAAATTCTTGATTTAATTATTTATTAGATACTCTTTAACAATTCGGGGAATCGTAAAATAATTCTACGTTTTTAGATGATGTGCATGACTACTGGATGAACTAGATGCGGCATTAAAACTCTCCATGAGGCTGTTAATTCCGTTACCGGTACTTCTGCGCTTAACAGTCTTACGCCCCCAAGAACCACCGTTAGCTACAAACGCTCCTTTGCGACTTATAGTAAACATAGTCTTCGGTCGTCCAGGGGGCGTTCCGGGCATTGGAGACAATATCGTGGGCGAATTCTGAGATAAGACGACAGACGGCGTCACAGGTGGTATCATTAACGGAGACAACTGTGATCCCCGTCGTCCCTTATTCCCTTGCCACGAATTTCTCTTTTTTTTTTCTCTTATTGATCCATGAGATTGTCGTCGAGTATTCATGTTACTAGCGCCGCCACCACCATCGTAATAAGGAGGCGAGTCGCTACCACTCCTTCGTTTAGCTCTAGTACGAGCACGAGCGCGGGCTATATCAGTGGGCTTTATCGCACTATTCTCAGCAAAGTTGTTAAAACTTCGTCTGTAGGCAGCATTCTTACCGTCTTTGGTATGGTGAGCATTACCACCTACCCACCACCCTTTGATAGCCGATAGTATTCCGCCTCGCTTACGATGAGTTGGTGATTTGGTATTTGGTATGGGCATTATTGACTGTATAGGACTAACTGGTCGTGAACTTGGTGGACTCGTGAACGTTGAATATTTCTTGGGGGAGAGGGGTGGAGACGCCGATGCGTGTATAGCCGTGAGGACGGGCTCTACAGCTTCGGGAAATGAGAGTATTAGTGATTTGCGTCGTTCTCGAGTGGCAGGAGCTGCGTGATAGGTCTTTGGAGGAGGAGTCGGAGGAGGTATTTCTTCATATTTCTTTGGAGGCACAGGTGGTCCGTCCTGCGAGTGACGCGGGGTGGTAGTCCCTCCAGTCCCTGCTGGCGACTCGACTAATAGTGTTACAGGATCATCATCCTCCTCTTCCTCATCTATCTCCTCTATCCCCTCTATCTCCGACTCTTCCTCCTCATAATTATCCTGTTCCTCGTTGCTCTCTTCCACAACTGTCTCTACTGATTTAGCTAATTCTACATCATCATTAGTGCCAACACCAATGTCTACCATTTTTGACGATTGTCCTATGCCCGCCTTTTTCCTTTCTCTCATACTGCCTAACAATAGCCACCATAGTCCATTTGATGAATCACACTTTGCTTCTAATACACTGCTTTTTATTGTGGCAGTGTCAAAGCCTAATTGTTCTAGTTTATCTAATAGTTCTTTTTCATCAGCATGTTTGAATAGGATTTTCTCATTGAGAGCTTTACCATCAACTGACGATCTACGGGATGATTTTGTTGATAATTGTGATTGTGATGATGTTGCTGGCGACAATGATGATTGATTAAATTGATTAAATTGATTGTAACGTGTGTTGAATGATGATGGAGTGAATTGATTGTAACGTGTGTTGAATGCTGATGGTGCTGATGGTCTGCGATGATTCAATGCAGTCATCTGATAATTGTTCTCTTGCAATCCGTTATTCCTTTGTGCCTTTAATATTTCCTCTCTTTGTTTAGCCAAATGTTGTTTAGCATCATATCCAGATGATTTTGGGTTGGAAGAATTGTCTTTGTTTTCCTTGTTGTCCTTGTTATTCTCATTCTCATTAATGTCCCTACTCTTGTCCTCATCATGATCTGTATCATTCTCATCGTCCGACTGACTATCATTTTCGTCTTCGTCCACAGTTTGCCACTCATCATCATCATCGTCCTCGTCATCCTTTTTCTTGAGCCACGGATGATCCAGGATTTGTTTCAATGTGAAGCGTTTACTAGGTTCGAGCTGTAGTATTGATTGAATAAGATCCTTTGCTTCTGTCAAAGCATAGGATTGATATTTCAGATAGAGGTTAGCACATGGAGTATGTCAGATGAGCGAAGAAAACGAAAAAACGTTGATACAACATAAAGTAGATATTGGTTTTCAATAAATTATATAAATAATAAACGGAATGATAATGTTTACCGTCAGATAAGCGATCCTCCAGGACATATTCTCCTTTTATTATTTTAGCCTTCATTTCGTCGTCATCATCATCGTCAAATGGTAAACTCCCACAGAGCAATGTGTACAGAATAACGCCAAGTGACCATATATCAGCCTCTATTTTTGCAGAGTTTGATAATACAGATTTATTAGCAACAAACGTTCGTTAAGCATCTATGTCGTTAATTACTACTTTCTTACCTGGTCCAAGATATTTTTTGCCACTTAATATTTCTATAAAAAAAGCAGATCGGCATAAATGCATATTCAATATCAAATAAGACCTGCTTATTAATATCAATACCCTGAATGTTGACGCGCTAACGGACAATTGTTATATGATAAAGAAGTCTTACCTGGAGCTGAGTATCCTATTGATCCGCACATAGTATCTAGTAATCTTCTGTTTTCATATTCTTGTGTGAAGCCGAAGTCACTAAGTTTGACGTTATTATGTGCATCCAATAAAATGTTCTCTAGCTTGAGATCTCTAAATAGTCATAAAAATTAGAATACTAAATATCAGAAATATATTAATGATAATCGTCCACATATTAATAATAGTTTAATCATTATTTGACAACAGGCATTGACAATGCTTTTACGTATTATCACAATTGAACGGCCTCAACTCTTTTCAACGTTCTACTTCTGTACCGATCCTTACCTGTGAACTATACGCCTGTCATGACAATATTTAACAGCCTTACATACTTGACCAAACATCCGTCTGGCCACACTCTCTTTCACATAAGATCCGTTGGCTATTTTATTAAACAGGTAGTTGTATAATTCACCATTTTCGCAGTATTCCAAGACCATATATATTTTGGTTTCCGCAGGAATAACTTCGAGAAGTGAGACGATATTTGGATGATGGAGATACCGATGATGATATATTTCAGGAGCAACCGTCTCTTTGTGTATTTTGTCGATGATTTTTATGGCAACCTGAAAATAAGCGGGGTAAGAGGGAAAAAAAGAATTGAGTATTGTAAGCGTAAAGAAGAGCATAATAAAAATAATGGTATAGAATGCAAAAAGACAGTGGTATTCGTATAGACGTAAAAAAATTTACATAAGGTCTAGCTAGCAACATGACACTGCAATCGTTATAAATTGATACGATTATACCAAAAAAAGAGAGCCTTTGTCATCATACCTTCTGTCCAGTCATACGATGAGTCGCGAGTTTGACGTTTCCGTATGAACCTGGGTAGTTTTTTTTATTTATTGTCAAAAGATAAGCCCGCCCTTCTCAAAAAGCACATTTTCTTGCCACTACAAATACACTCGTACAGTGTGTGTGTGTGGGAAGAAGTGCAGTAAAGACTGATACTCTTCCCTACCTGCGCCCAGAGGTTCTCCTAGTATGTAGTTGCCGATTGAGGCTATGTCCGGAGTAGATAGTTCTTTCAAAAGGTCATGATAATCGGCTGCGAGCTAGAGTATAAAGATTAAAGATATAAGTTTGAAAGACTGTTCTCGTTTATTTGTGCAATGCTTTCTAAGAGATTTATTCTTCACATTCGCTTGTCAGTTCCCATTCTCCAAAATATGTGTATTTACCTTTGCTCTATGGTTCCTCGCTATAGAATAGGGAGACCCACCACCAACTCGCCCACGAGAGTTATGCATTGTCGTCCAGCAACGTAGTGTAAAATGAGCGTATTAGCATATATTTTATGATAGGGTAAACGTCTGGGGTGTATTTATACAAGGAAATGGGCAGAGGAGGAGGTGCAGTGATAAATTTATCTATGTGGGAAATCTATGATGTAAATTTTTTCTTATACTTCGTTGCCCAAAGTTGTGATAGTGACAGTTAATGACTTTCAAGAATGATGAGAGGCTCCTAAGCTAACGTTGAGGAATGTGTCACCGAGTTTGTAACACGATTATGTTGGAAGGAACGCCATTCTTTACTTCCTTCAACGACTAACCCAATGTCCGCATGACTAATATGGAATGATATAAGATTTTATGTGATATAACTCATTAGACTGTTGGTCAAATTAGAAAAGAGGAATGAATAGCCACATACCAACAATGACAACAAGTAAGTATTCTTGAACAATTCACTTGGCCAGGATTCACCAGCGACAGTTTCATCGACGTTAGTTAGTAATGATTGTCGTTATCGTTCTCTGCTATTGCTTAATTTTTAGATATCGATGTGGTATGTGATATTCAGCGAGCCTCCTCGACATTGTTTAATATTATTACTACATTCGATTCCACAATCTCATGACCTTGCATTGTCATTTCTATTGTTATTGTTGTGCTTGTTGTGCTGAGGAAACGAATTAAATCTTCCACCTACAAACAGACACATGTCAACAGGAATATTCGAAACTCTTCCAACCCCCATCTATCACAATCACAACGCACACAAAGTTTTGCCATCTCGTTCTGCACCCCACATGTTTATCCGCCAATCTCATTGGATTGTTTTCCCCACATATCACGCCAATTGATGCAAAAATTATTCTACCGTAATCTTATTCGATTGTCCGTCAGTTTCATCGTCGATGTCGTTTTATCCAGTACATATTAATATGTATTTCAATTAAACTTTCTATTATATAATCATCCCCCTCTTCCGCAACTTCTTACATGGCGGTGTTTGACAATGACACTTCAGGTCGAATATGTCGTGATCACGATGATTTATGCCAAAAACTTGGGCTCGCAGAATAAAAAAAGACAATTTTCCGAATGGGAATACAATGGATCATTGCATTACGATTGTTTAGGTGTGACGAAGGGGTGTTTGAAAGAATAATACGAGTTGTCTCGGCACAAGGTCTAAGTGGATATTAATAGGCGTAGCTTCGTCAGTGCGCAAAGAGAATCACATGTTAGTTAATAGTCAAGTATTAGTATGGATATTTATCAGTAGCACAAACAATCAGCCTCATTCCTGATGATGTTATATCAACAATTATAGCAATAGATTTCTGTCATTGAAGTGGCGTTATGTAGACAAATATGCACCATCACACTTTTTAACAATACATTATCCGTCATTGTTTTGACTTGCCTAAAATGTCCCATTACTATTACTTCGCCCTTACACAGCAGAACCCCCTCAAAAACAAATAACAGCCACAGACATCACTGCACCAATTGATGCCAAGTGTTAGCTTCTCTTCAATATCAAATGGAAATCTGACATGATATACAAACTAAATTAGATCAATTTGTGGGCTAAATTATCATGTGATTTAATTTTGTCATAAAATAAACCAATAGTGAAATGGAGTAACTGTCAATAAAGTTGTACTTATTGAAATGGAGTAACTGCAACAAAGTGACCAAAGTTCTTGCCATCCCTTCAAATATTTAAGTGACGATGGCTTCACGTTTTGTATCGTCATTCAAACTATCTTGCAGTCCAATCGTCGTATAAAACGTTTTAGCAATTTACTTTTTTGCATATCTGTTGTCATTTAAAGCTTTTCTCTACATTCATTTTTTACATTCCCATTGGCAATTAAAATATATATTTAATGTCTAAATTTGCATTGTTTATAGTAGCCAAACAATAATAATAAATTCGCATTTTTATCGCCATTTAATGCTTTCTGGGACTCCATTTTTTTCTCAGTCTTGGGTGGGTGATTGTATTGCAAAACCAATGGTTACCATTTGCAAATCAGTCGTCGTTTATTTCATAAACATTCACTTTCGTACAGCCTTAAAGACATTATTGGTTGGCAAAATCAATGTCGACTAAATTTTACCTCAATCCCACGCTTAAAGCTTTTTTAAACATTCAACTTTTTGTATATCCTCATAGTCTTAAAGCACGAATGGGTTACAAAATAATGGTGGAGAGCCCTTATGTACTTTTGACATCACGAGTACTCTTCAAGTACGCTAAATTCATGTTAGTGTCGTCATCATTCCGAGTTTGCGGAACTGCATCATGCAATACCCCCGCCAATAACTCAAAATTGTCGGGGGCGAACTAAATTGTCAGCATGCGACGCATGGAAAATAAACAAAATTTATTTGAACAGAAAATTTGGTTAATAGTATAAAAAAAACTCCCCCCTCATAAGCAAATGTTCCGGGATGTGAGTATAGCCAAACAAAAACCCGCAATCTTACTAGGCATATGGATCTAACACGACAAAGACATGCAAGCTCTTTTGCAATTGTCTCGTAATAATAACAGGCCAGAAAATACTATTGCAAAAAATTTTCACGACTTAGACGTACAAGTGCCTGGCCAGATAATAAAATCCATCGTGCAATATGGCAAGACAAAATTCAAATAGTAAAAAACATGTTCAAGACTAATGGCGCTGGGGGCGGCACGTCGTGAGAACGCCAAGACATTTAACTAGCGGTAACGACGCAAATGTGAAATCATCGTCATTATTTCGCGGGCCTTCGCTTTTCTCGGCCGAACGGCCGAACAGCCAAAACGATTAAGTGAAAATATTCGCATTGACATTAAAATAAGAAAAATTTTAAGCTCGCGATTTGTATCGATTTTTATTCAAAGAGTTATTGAATAACGCGAAGTGACCAACAATGCAGTGAAATTTAACTGTTATAACTCCTTAATATTTATATTGTTATATTAATGAGTTTTAAAATTTTTAAATTAGAATCTTATTAGTAGTGTGAGTTATAACATTTGCATCGTTGGTCAATGATTATTCAATGAGTCAAATTGCAGCTCGAAAAATTCCTTATTTGATCGTCAATGCTTTAATTTTAATTAGTCATTTCGGTTGTTCGGCCAAGGAGAGCCCGAGCTTGTGAGGGCCCGCAAACTAATGACGATGGTCATCGCCTAATTGTAAGCATTCTCAGGTCAACGAATTTCGCGCTTTACATAGATTTAACTTTTTTTCTTCCGCAAGTCAATAATATTTTTGTTCCCTGGAAAACAGAAAAATTTGTTAACTAACTTTTTCTATTTTAATTAATTATTTTGCCTAACCGGAAGAGAGCAACAATGTAAGTACATTTTAATTGTCGCGAGCAGTGTTCAACAAGTCACTGAGTTAGCAATTCGTTAGCTCATACTGTATATAATGTAATTTCTGTGTTATTTGAATTGAAATATTAACAAGATGACGAAAATAAAATTACCATGTTTGGCGGATATTGCATATTGTCTGAATATTTGTTCTGACCCATTTCTGAATTTGATCCACTTCCGAATCGGGTCAACATTCTGATATGGGTCAACCCACTTCAGAATTGTTGTACGTGGTATGTGATGATCAACATACTCGATTAAATCACTTCATAATAATGTCAAAAACAATGATTAACACCCGAACAAATGAATTTATTTATGAGTAGCAAATGAATTACATAATAATAATAATAATAAAAAGAAAAATTAATGTCTCTAATTAGTTGACGCTTTCTATAACTGCCAGTTAGTCGTTAACACAGTCAGTATTTGTAAGATGACAGTGAATTCCACATTGCTTATTCAATCTCAAACAAGAACATTTTCGTGTGGAACAATCAGTCTTGCATTTACACCTATTACTATTACCAACTGCATTTTGCAATCTAAGTGCCTCGGTCAAAGATACAACAGTCTCCGGAATAGGAAACCCTGCTTCAACAGCTTCCAAGTCAGCTGCATAGTAGCTGAACGTCTAATATTCCTGAACTACAACCAAGCTTGTATTGACCTCCCTCTAACACCTCTACCACTTTCTATTCTTTGTGATAGCCTGAATTACCTTACAATCCTTTTTTGTTAAAGCCCAATTTTTTGACCATCATACGATTCCGACATTCAATTATTCAATCGTTCTGTTCTTTGTGGTTGCTGTGTTCCTTTTTTGTTGAAGATCTTAATTGTTTTGACTAGCATACAATTTTCGAAACCAATTATCTTTGTGTTGCCGACTTTTTGTTAAAGCATACGATCTCTAAATAGCTACCGCTGAAGATCATAACTGCAGCTGTTGATCTATAGAATATAATGAATCGTATGATCAAAGCAATTATGACCGTTAACAAAAAAGGATTTTTCAAAAAGAAATAGAATGAAGACATAATAAACCAATGCCATGTCAAACAATGACATAGGTTTATAAATTGGGGAATATCGACATGTCTAATAATCACTTTAACTTCATCTCTCGCGCCAGATACTTAAATAATATGTCACTTAATTGTCGCACAAAAGCCATTCTGACTCAACAAATCGTAAACCGGGCGATTGAAATCCTTAGCGGTTCAGACACAAGTGCGAATCAAAGATATAAACACTGGTACTGCAAATGTTCGGCGTGATGCATATTGGCGAAATAAAAATCCTACTACTTAAAAGAAGTAAAAAACCCGTGTGTGTTAGAGAGAATATGTACGATGTAATCTGTTCTACACATCGAGATTTACAACACGCTGGCTACAGAAAGACATTCGGAGAACTCCAACGCCATTACAGTTACCCAATCCTAGAAAATTAGTTGCTGCATTTGTTAATGCATGTAGCATTTGCACGCGTTAACGCAATATCGTAATTATTATATTTCAGGAATATTAGACGTTTATTAGTGCATTGTGCGAATATGAGTATACGTAAAATGGTAGGGAGTATTTATTTCAAGTTTCCTTATATAATGTGCTTGCGTAATATGAAGCATTTTATTAACCACATATTCTTCGGTTTGTTTTTCCGACGTCGGGTATCCGTCACTTGCTTTTCTAAACTAATTAAACATTAATCGTCTCGATAATTAATTATGAACTCTCGTTCCGTTATTCACGTAATTGATCCACGGACAGCTTACTAGCTTGATCAAATCAATGCTATTCCGTTACAGCTTAAGTGAGCCGTTTATTGGAGTGTCCGGCCTAATAATCAATTATTTCGACGATAGAAAATAAATTGTATATTTATAATAAAGGATTGTGGGAGAATACTACTAAGATCAGTAATATTTTATTTTTATTCGTAACATGACAACATTAATTTTTGACGATGGGATATGAGCTACTTATATATGTTTGAGCTTTGCGACGCACTTTTAACTATTTCTAGAAGAACAATTAAATATAGAATAATTATAGCGTTTTGTGCTGTCGCGGAAAAAACGCAACATTTTGTTTCCTAATGCAGTGTAGCGCCGTTGCGGATCTTCGAAATGTTGATATTACTAAATCAATGTTTTTTGTGAGACTGAACTAAAATTAGTATCAATCATGGGGTTGTTTGACTGCAGAGGAAGATTTTACCATGTGACTCACTTATCTGATTCATCAGATTGGCTCGCTGTAACAATATGTTAATGCAGTGGGTGAACCCCAGATTGAAATTGTTGAGGTGTGAAAACTTGTCCTTGTCAAATCTATTATCAAAGAGTTTTTGAAGGAAATCAAGAGCAGGCAAGTGGATGGAAAATGACACCTTTATGTAGCAGAAAGAAGATGAGGCATATAATAACAATGACATCTTAGTCAAGAATATATTTGACTACATACCCTAGGTTCCCTTCTCCATTTTAAACAGATCAGATGGCACCAAGCATCTAATAACATCAACCTTACAGCAAGTTCACCTTGGCTACCTGCATCAAGAATACCTCCTGATTGGAAGGCCAAGTCCAGTTCATGAAGCATTTCAAGCTAGGCAGACTCTACTGACATCAGCCCAAATGCTGCTTCTGAAAGCAGGGGTTCAGAAGGGTATGTAATAACAAGAAATTTGCAGCTGTCATCTACAGCAATCAGAATAGCCATATGTGTTCTGACTAGTTCAACTGCAATGCTTGATACTGGACTCACATACAGGACAGCAGTGGAGGCAATTACTGGAACAGCAGCAGCCCTTTTCTCTGCTTTTTCAAGTTTGTGCCAAGTGGCAACTCCCCCAAGGAGTTTGAATTTTGCAAGATTAATTATATTACAAAAATTATCATATTCATTTGAGTGTGACTTGGCAACCCAAAGGGAACCTCAAAGTGGACAGCCAAACTAAACTATGTCATGTCCTGAAGAGTCTTTGCATGGGATTGTGTTCAAATTTCTATAAAACCAGACATGTTCATAAGTCAACATAATATATATATATATATTTACAAGTTGTGGTATACATACTGTAGGCAATCCATTGTTGCAATGTATATGAATGGTGTATGGATGCAAAGTTTGTGATCTCATGCCTTTGAAATAATAATAAGTTTACCATTGAAACAAACCATAGAGAAAGTTGCAATGTCTCAATATCAAAGAAATAATATTGTTTGTACTCACTGATGGATCTTCTCTTGCCAAGGTGCCAGATTAGCAGCAGATGAGTTTGTATCAGTCAAAATTCCATAGGCATAGTCAGAAAGCATATGCAAAACTCTGTGAATTGCATGAAAAGCCAGTTTCTCTCCACCCTTTTTATTTTCTAAATGAATATAAAGATAGTCAGGAAATACTAATACTAATACTAATTTTTTGAAATAATGATGATAATGAACAAAAGTCAAGTCATACCTAAAAGACGAAATGATTCATCCAAGAAGATTGCTATCTTGTCAGTCTCAGTTCTTGAGGAAAAGAGATCTCATGAGCTATTCAATGATGAGGTAACTTGATTTGATTCTTTAGGAGGGGATTACAAGACATGATCTGTGATTTGACTTTGTTTTATATTTAAAGAGATATTTCTATATCAAATCTGCAGATACATATCACAAAATACCCATATAATCAACTCAAGCCATTGTGATGCTATTTCCTTTGCATCATCTATAGACTCTGCCTTTTCTATATCTGAGAGCATCTCACTGCTTTTTGGAGTCATTGGTGGGTAGCCAATTGAATCCACTTGATGCAAACAAACATATATGAGAGGTTGTGCTGTTGCAAGCTGAATAATTGCCCTTGTCTTGCCATAACCAGATGATTGAACAACTGAGAGGTAGTTGTAATAGCCTTCTTCATTAGCAACCTTGTTCAGTTGCTCATTATAGCAGACAAGAAATTGTCACTGTCTTGAAACTCAGTTTGGAAAGCCAAGTGCAACACTAAGGGTAAAACAATTTGTTATCATCATCAGCCATAATAATAAGGAAAAGCACAAGCATTTATACAAACCTTTCTTTGTAAAGGCTGCATCAGTTGACTCTACCAGTCAGTTGAATATGAGTGAGCAGAAAAACTACCAGAATCAAATTTCATAACAAAGATAGGTTGAATCAATAGATTTACCAGTTGAAGGCTCAGCTATAAGAAATAACATTTGGCAACAGAGAAAAACGACAAGAGCACAAGTTAATAGACATTGTGGAAATGATTAAGAACATTCTCTTGAATGAATGGATAAAAATATTTGTCGCAACAGTATTCCAATATCCAACCATATGGTGATATAATAGCATTTACTATACTCTGTCCTATACTCCTCCCAACGCATGTAATGACACAGGATAGTTGAAATGCATTATGACATGCGTTGGGGTTGGGGCATAGAGCAGAGTCGTAGCAAAGGTTAGGTTATACGTAAACTCGTTGCAAAGGCAAATAAGCAAGATACAATACATTTGGGTTAAGTAGAGTAGAAGCAACGGAGGGAGAATACCGTAGAGCGCTGACTAAAGTACCCCCCGTGTAAAGTACCCCCCACCATATAAGGCAATGGATTTGTAAAAGACCCGGGTACAGAAAACTCAATGATTACATATCACGTGGCCTATAATAACCAATGACAATTCGCATTAATCCCCCAAGCATAGAAGATGAGTGTCATAGAGTGATCAAGAATAGAATAGATGAGTGTCAGTGTGTTATAGATTGATTGTGCAGCTGGAACTGTTGTTAGCAAACCAATAAGTATGAGCAAAATTTGAGAAATATAATTTTGTACCCCGGGTACTTTACACGGATACATAATACTCTGTCCATAGTACCCCCCGAGTAAAGTACCCCTTATTACAGGATTTGTAAAGTACCCCGGGTCCTTTAGTCAGCGCTCTACGGTAGTTCGAATGATTCATTGCTTACCTTGTTTCGATGCCATATATGCAGCGTAAGCATCATCTTCAGTTTTCTCGGGGTAGTCTTTCGCATAATGAAATGCAAATTTGGTATATTCGCGGTCCATGTTGTCAGTGTTATGAGAAGAAAGAGCGCGTTATATCTTGCTGCGCTCCATGGGCAACCACGTTGTGGAACAATTACAGCATCAAATCAGATTGTCCATTGTTGCCCCTGTGATTTATGCATACCTCTTATTATTATTGCATGTTTTTGTAAAGTGAATATTACTGCATGTGACATATTTACTGCATGTGTACTCTGATTGATGCAACACGTGTGTTAAATTAGTTACTTATTTTCGATTAGATTAGTATTTCGTCGTAACACAATGTCAATTTGGGGGGTTTAGGACAGAAAAATCATATATGAATTTCCCGCTCTAAGCCCTCTAGAGCACTAAAATGGGTCTATGACGTTAGATTTATGTTTTAATCGTCACTTGAATGACGAGAGATTTATATTTGCCTCGTCATTTTCGGCACATTTTCGTTAGATTTTTCTTTATGCTATCCTGCTTGCCATTGAAATCATATACAGTGCCTACTCAAAAGTCTCCGACCACCCCTTAAATTTTTCGTCGATCGCGCATAACACAGTCATTATTTGCGCATCTTCTAATCTATATTCCTGCAAAATTTCATCACACATTAATATGTAAGAGTTTGAGTTTGCTTATGCCTAAATTTATCTAACCGAAAACGAAATACCGTATTCTTCCGAAAATAAGCAACACCCGAAAATAAGCAACACTTCAGAAAAATTAAATAAATAATTTGGCTTTATAATGTATT